GGAGTCCATCACAGGGAGGGGACCACGGGCTGCCCCGGGCATCTCAGTGGCAGTTCTTGCCAAACCCCAGGAGGACAATTGCCCTGTCAGCGTTGTTTTCTGCCAGTGGCATTGGCAACCCCATCCCGTGAGTGTGTATCCATCGCTGTCGGATGCAATGTCAGATACTGGGGTGAGGGGCTGTGGGGCAGCTAGTTTCCGGGTGGGAAGGAGGAGTTCACCCCTCTGCCCGCTGTAAGGTCCCCTCCATCCCTGCCCAACAGGGAGGCAAAGAGGAGAGACATCCCCCACAGGCTAAAGCCATGAGTGCCCTTGTGCAGCCACTTAAAGCTACAGCTCCCCACCAGTGCCTGCGGTGCTGATGGCCCAGCGCCGTGAGAGTGGAGATGAAGCCTGAGGAATTGGGATCCACTCCGTCCTTCCTGTGCTGGGGTGGGGGGGGGGGCCTGGCTGATGCCTCTCCCGCAAGGCTGATGCTACCCTTTCAGCCCTGCCGTTGGGCATTCTGCTCCTGGCAGTGAGCTGGTGCCAGACCTCATCGAGCTCCAAAAGTGCTTGGATCCCTGCGGTGGCCTAGGTGTGGCCCCGGCACTGTGCCCTGCTGGGCTGGGTTCGGAAGCCATTCAGCAGGTCTGAGGCTCCCTTGGGTTTTCCCCTTGCAGGCATTATCCACGCCCGGGCGCTGGTGAGAGAGTGTCTGGCAGAGACAGAGCGCAATGCCCGTACGTAACAGCTGCTGCCCTGCCCCATGGACCTTCCCACCAATGAGCATCTGAGAACCTGCAGATCTGCCCTCCCACGGACCTTCCCACCCAAGACCTGGCTCTGCCATACCCCACACAGACCTTTCAGCATTTGGCAGCTGAGGATCCAGAGCAGGTCCTGCTGGAGTGCAGCTGTTGCCGGCAGTCAGCGCTGGGGAAGCTGGCGCTTGGGCCATGCTGCAGGGATCTCCAGGGAGAGGAGCCAGCGGCTTTTCTCACATCTTTATAACGTGTTTGTTTTTATAACTCAATAAAAGAAAGCGTTGGGATTCTGACCTGCCTCTGGCCCTTGTGGTTTGTGCTGCTCCCGGTGACGAGGAAGGAGCTGGCCCCTCCCACGGCACATTCCTGGGGCCTCCCAGGGCCTTGGAAGCAGCAGCAGCTCGTAGGAGGGAGGCTGCCTTGCACCGGGGGCAGGATGCTGAATGCCCTGGGCTATCTGGAGAAAGCCCACAGCACCTGGAGCCTGGAACTGCATCACGTGGAGCCATGTCACCTGCTACATTCCCCAGCTGGTGGCTGGGAGTGTGCCTGGGGCATATGGCTCAGTCGCCGAGGCTGATGGGAGAGCAGCATGGTGGTGCTGGGTTTGCATCTGGGAGGGGCTGTGCTGGCCCTACTCTAGTCGCACCTGCACTGCTCGACCCCCTGCGTGCTGAGCGTGTGTTCTGCCTGCACCGC